AGGGCCAGGTTCGCACCAAAGATGTGACAGGACCGATGCTGAATGAAGCCCCCAAGAGGTGGCTTTCAAAGAAGTCGTACGTTGAGGACGTGGCCAGGCTGCAGAAGCGCTGGTGCCCTGAGCTTCGAGATATCTCTGTCTCCGCCGCGCAGAAGAACTAAGGACCCATGATGGCTCCCATACTGCCCGAATCTGGAAACGATGTGGCGCAACCTATGGAGGCCAACGCACAAGGCGCAGCCTTCCAAATATGAGACACATCAAACTCCGGTTGTCTGGCTTGGCGCGGTGTCACAAAGACTGACCGCTCAAAGGTGAGCCTTGCCGCAAGAAAGATCTGACCGCAACCGAAACCAAGGGGGAACGATTTAAGAGCGGACATTGATCTGACTGTTGCTTCTGTGGGCTTAACCATAGAGACCGAATGCATACGTAAAGCAACGAGCAGTGCGGAGTCATCAGATCGACAGGCTGGTGCTGCTGGTACTGCTAATGCTACGGCTGCTCCTGCCCGTCGATCATACACTTCGCTAGCCGCCAGTGTACGTTTGGCTTGTGTTGGTGGTTATCCCAAGCCCCCACCTCGGGGATTCTGTAAGTGATGCACTGCTGCTCGTACTGCGAAGGCCGTCGCCAATCATGTTAGAATTCACCAGCGTTGGCACTGCCAAGATGCTGTAACCGATCAACATCATCGCGAAACCGATGCACCTACCTGCGTTTGTCAGCGGCACGACGTCACCGTAGCCGACCGTCGTAATCGTCGTTGCAGCCCACCACATCGCTGAAGGTATGCTTGGGAAGGTGTCGTCGTCCTCGACGGCCCAAACCTAGGGAAACCAAAAAGGACTCCCTTGACCTCTCCTGGGGCTATGTTGCTCTCATCGAACCTAAAGACCACATCCCAGACATAATTTCGAGCACACGGAAAAGCGTCGAAAGAGTGTCGAAAGAGTGTCGAAACAGTGTCGGACGAGTGTTTCCCAGGGCCCGACACGTGAAAATCCCTGAGTTTCGGTACTTTTCTGGTGCTCGAAATGTTGTTCTGGTGATCAAGGCTAAGTAAGTTAGAACATCATACTCCTGGGGTGCGTTCTGACCAGAACTTCCAAGCCAATCCAGCCGTAGCGACGAGGGCCGTCCAGAAGGCCCAAAAAGGGGAAACACGATGCCAGAATAACCGAAAACGAGGCCAACCTGGCGAGAAAGTACTGGAACTGCTACCGGAGCGGTATTGGTACCTCGTTCCTCCCGTGAAGACCAGGCTGCCGAAGAAGAATATGATCGTGAACACGATGACCAAGAACACCCGCAAGATGCTGAACTCGTGCCTCACGGCCGAATAGAGTACCAAGCTCTCCGGCATGTACCTGAGGAACTTCAGAAGCCGCACCACGCGGAGCACCCGGATGGTCAGGAAAAAGTCGCCTTTCAATGAAGAGAGGGTTCACAGAGGGTCGAGGGTCAAGCGAAACAAACGATGCAAGATCGCATGTCGAACCAACGAACCGAAGCAGCAACAAAGGAAAGAGCAGCAGCTTAAACAACGAATATGTAAGATCGCACGTCAACAATGGGTCAGGTGAGACGAATGAACAAGAGAACAGGACATTCAAAACGCGTCTAGCAGATGACTGCACGCCGTCTTGGACGTGCATACATGATTGCGAGCGGCCTCCGAATTATGAGAAGACCCTGCCTAAGGCCAGGCATACCCTACAAGGGCGGCATCACTCGAACCAGGGGAACACTGCGGCACGCTGATAACATGCAAAGCTTGCGATGACGGTTGGCAGTTCAAATGAGAGCAACCACACTTTCTCCTGCGTCAGTGATTTCGCAGAGGCTCTTCTGCTCCAGGAGAGGCTCGACTGCTTAGTCATGCTGGCACCATCTCGCGCACACCAGTTCAAACGCAATCTTGAGAAACCCTTGCGTGCAGATGCAACGACGTGGTTGACGACAGCACGGAAGGATGACAAAGCTCTGGTCAGTCGTCCCGCCTCCTACCTCTGCCTATCCCCGTCCTCCTCCTCCTCCTCCTCCTCCTCCTCCTCCTCCTTAATTACCCCCCTTCGCCCTCATTCTCCTTCTCCTCGTTCTTCTACCCCTCCCCCTCTTAATCCTCCTCCCCTCCGCCTCATCCGGTTCCGCCTCCTCCTACCCACCTTCCTCTCCAGCGTCGCTCCAGCACCGCTCTGCCTCCCCGACCTCGCGGCCCCCCCAAACCAGGGCACTGCCGAGATGGACTTTGAAGACTCCCCGCTGGAGTAAACGAAGAACGGAGGTGCTTCCAACTGCGTGGTGAGGCTTCGGGCTCGGCGACGACAGCCCGCCCAGGTAGTCCCAATTGGCAGCAACATGCCCCCGGAGTAGTCCCGTGTGGTCTCTGCACAGCAGCCCAGCGCGGTCTCAACACCCTGGCCCTGGGACGCGGAGCGCCCTAGGGGCGCCGCCGCAGACGGCGCCCGTGTTGGGCTACGTGGGGGGGCTGTCTGTGCTCAACCCGAGTCCTTAGCAGACCCACGGCTGCAATTTTCTCGGGCGCGCCACTTTACTGGTCTAGCGAGAAAGCCCCGTGCCCAAACATCCGAAGTCTCGACTGTGTTCAATACGGAATCCTCGGAAACTGGGACCCTGTCCCCAAGACCGGCATTTCATGCCGAACCTTCTTGCTGACAGCACTGGAGCCCGGCGAGGCCCCCCCCCCGAAGCCGAAAACCGGCAAAAAAGCAGTCCGCCGCGAGGTTGCAGGAAGGGAGCCAGTCTGGGAACGACCCCGGGCACATCGAGACCTCCGTGCTTTGGGGGGGGGATCCTGCGCCGTGCTCCTGGCCGCCCCCCCGCACGAGAGCGGCCTTGCTCGTGCTGCGTCGCCGCGGGCCAGAACAGCGAGACCGTCCAGCTCCCGGACGCCGCCGCGGTCACGAGGTCCAGGACCCTGCCAGTGGGAGGGCGCCCGCTGCACACCCTGCACCGGTGCCTGCCCGGGCGCCTCCCGGGCTCGGGCGCGGCGTTTATGCGCACTCCTGGCCTCCCATGAGATCCTGGCGACTCCATGTTTTCGAGCCGGGCGTTTTCGCTCCATTTCGGGCCTCGGGACCCTCACGGATCGGTGCGGCTCGAAAAGTGACGCAGAGAGACGGGGTATGGGGCTCCGGGCGTGATCTTGTACGGTGTTGTGATTGTTCTGCAACGTCGGATCTCAGGGCTGGGCAGGAGGGTACATGCGCCGAGCCTGTGCCCAGGATCGCCCTCGCCAGGACCGGTGCGAGTGTGCAGTTGCTGCCCTCCAGGATCCCGTTGAGGGAGCGCACGTACTTGCAGCGGTTTGCGGCTGCCCACAGACGAACGAAGAACTCCGTGACAAAGAATATCGCCAGAGTGACGTCCAGCGTGACGTCTGCGACTGCACTTGCAGCGGTTGGTGTGTTGGTGTGTGTGTGTGTGTGCGTGTGTGTCGGACCTTGTTGTTCACTACGACCGCTGATTGCGAAAGGACCCCCGACGAATCGAACCCAACATCATTTCACGTGTTCCACCAATCCCCTCCCCTGCGTTTTTTGCCTTCCGACCAAGCATGGTCCCAGGTAGCCAGGTCCCGCGCAATGTCCCCCCCGCCTCCCCCCCCCCCGCCTCCTATGCGCCCCCCCTGCCCCAGCGCCCGTCCGAGTCCACTTGTGGAATCGCGCGGCAGCGAAACTGGATAGAGGGCGTTGGACATGTGGTTGATGACAGTCTCGTACGACTCTGCCACCGTTACCTGGCTTACAGTCGGGGCGGGGGGCACATCCTCGGGGCCTCGGCCGTGAAATCTCAAAAGGCTGTAACAACTCTCTCTGTCCCGAAACATATCCCCTCCACTCTTCCCTCTCTCCCTCCACCGCGCTGTGGCGCGACTGGCTCGAGCCGCTAGTTACGAAGGCGCAAACTGAACACCAACTGTGGGGCACCGAGCCCCCGACCCACCCCTCGCCAGCCCCTCCTGCAAAATGCTGCCCACGGCGCTCCAGGACCTCACGCCCTGCTGGTCCCTCCTGGGCGCCCCGAGACGCCCCGAGGCCGCAGGGGGACGTCCGCGAACGCTTTGAGGCCCCGATCTGGGGCGGCGCCGAGGAGGAGGAGGAGGAGGAGGAGGAGGAGGAGGAGAAGGAGGAGGAGGACGAGGACGAGGACGAGGAGGAGGAGGACGAGGAGGAGGAGGAGGAGGAGGAGGAGGAGGAGGAGGAGGGGGAGGACTCCTCCTCCTCCTACTAATCCCCTCCCCAAGCTTGCGCTCCCGCCCCCGGCGCAGCGCGGAAGCGGGCGCGACAGCGCAGCAGATTCGTTGTCTGTCCCACGTTCCCCTCCCCGATTCCTCTGCCTCGCCGCCTTCTCCTACTCCTCCTCCTCCGCCACCGCCTCCTCCTTCTCGCCTCTGCTCTCCTCTGCCCCGCCGCCTGCTCCACCCGCATCCTCTTCCCTCGTGTGTGGGGCACGCAGCGCTCTCTGGGCCGCCCCTGCCGTTCGACGCCCTGGCGCGCTCCAGAAGGCCACGGCACGCACACGCTGGCCACGACGGCGCACATGGACACCAAGTTGAGCACCTGCGCGGGCCGCTGGAACAGCGTCCCGAGAGCCGGAGGACTAGTACGAAGGTCTGGGGCGGGACTGCCCCGGAGAGGCGGGCTCCGTCCCCCAGGGCTTACAGTCGGAGGGGAGAGACACGGCACCGCCACAGGGCCAGCTCCAAAGCTGAGGTCCACGATGCCTCCCAGAGCTGGAGAATTTTGGGGTGTGGCTCTGCCGGGGAAGGGGGGAAAAGGGGGGGGACGAGTGGTGGTCCGCTTTCCGGGGGGCTTGTCCGGGCCCGCGAGGGCCCCAAGACCCCCTAAGACGGCCCCCGAAGCCCCCGAGACGCCCAAAGAGCAAAAGCGCTCCAAGACGCCGAAGATGACCTCCAGACGGCCCAAGAGGCCGCCGAGACGCTACAAGAAGCCTCCAACGACGCACCACGACGGCCCCAGAGGCCCCCAAGATCGCCCCAAGACGGCCCAAGAGGCTCCCAAAATGACCCCAAGGCGGCCCAAGAGAGCCCCAAGACTGCCCAAGAACCCCCCATGACGGCCCCAGAGGCTCTCAGGACGGCTCCAAGAGGGGGGCCAGACGGGGAACCCGAATGAAAATTTCGAGCCCCCGCCATCCAGCAGCCCCCAGGAGGCCACAAGAGGCTCCCAGGAGGGCCCCAAGAGGTCCCAAGAGGCCCCCACGAGGCCCCTAGCAGGACCCAAGAGGCCCAGAAGAGGCCCCCAAAAGGCCCAAAAGAGGCCCCGAGGGCCACAATGGCCCCAAGGATGCCTTCAAAGTGTACCCATGAGGCCCCCGAGAGACCTACCACGAGATCCCAACGAACACTGAAGAGCCCTCTGGCACCACCCAGCCACGATGAAGGAAGAACCTTCCACCCGTCGTTGTCACCAGTCGTCGGTCATCGGCCGTCGGCAGCCGTTCGCCGTCAGTCGTCGTCGTCGTCGTCGTCGTCGTCGTCGTCGTCGTCGTCGTCGTCGTCGTCGTCGGCCGTCGTTCGCCGTCAGTCGTGGCCGTCGTCGTCGACATCGTGGCCGTCGTCGTCGTCGACGTCGTCGTCGTCATCGTCGTCGTCAACCGTCGTCGTTAACCTCGTCGACCGTTGGTCGTCCGTTGTCGTCGTCACCGTCCATCCCAACAAGAATATCAAAAGCGCCCTGGATCGGCGGCACTGGCCGGAGGCCTCTACAATCAATTGACGCTCAAAGCTCACAGTTGTTGCAATCATCATGTAATCGTGCCGCGCGTCGCTGTTGGCAAGCAATTGGGCACGTGTGTGCGCTCGGAGGGCCGAGAACAACGAGATTGGCAATGTGTTAGCAGTTGGTGAACACATCTGCCATTTGAGTCAGTCCAGGCCTATAGCGGCAACGTGTTGGCCCAAGCTCGGTGACCAGAACTCACTTTGAACGCGAGTAGTGGCTCACAGGTTGCAAACACCACCACGACCAACTTGGACACCGCTGCAAGCTCGTCGACACAACACATACATACATATATACATACATAGCAGAACCAAACGCGCGTTTCGCGCGCGCTTAGGTTCTAGCAGTGCCTCCGGAACTAACTCTCGGATCCGAAGTTGGCCATCAGCAGGGCAGGAGTGTAACAAACACAAATGCAACAATCCTTCAAACACCAACGGGAGATCAATGGTTTTCGCTTCTTCGGGCTTTCCCAAAGGATGTCTTGGAGGCGTCTTTGCCGCCCGGAGGCTATCTTGAGCTATCTCGACGCCATTTTGGACCGTGTAGGGTACATCTTGGGGCCATAGTGGGATCTCTTGAGGCCATCTTAGCGGTCTTGGAGGCATCTCTGAAACCATCATGGGCCGTCTTGGCCGTGTTGGAAGCCATCTAGGCCGTCTTGGACCGGGAACGGGCGGTCTTGGAGCCCGTGTGCCGCCATGGACGGGGCTGTTTGGGAGGCAATCTTAGGCGTTTGGAATCCTCTTGGGCCGTCTTTGGGGCTGTCTTTAGGGCTTCTCGCGCCGTCACGGGGCTATCGTGGAGGACTCTTGGGGCGATCTTGGGAGTCTCATGGGCCATCCAGACCGTCGGCAGGCAGAAACAGCAAATGCACAAATACTTCGAAATAACCATAAGACATCGATGATTTTCGCTTCGTCCGGCTATCCCAAGGGGTGTCTTGGAGGTGCCTTGGCCGCCTCGGAGGCTGTCTTGAGCTACCTTGACCCCGCGTTGGGCCGCGTAGGGGTGCATCCTGGGGCCATCTTGGGCTCTCGTGAGGCCATTTCAACGGTCTTGGAGGCATCTCCGAAACCATCATGGGCCAATTTGGCCGTCTTAGAAGCCATCGAGGCCGTCTTGGGCTGGGAACGGGGGGTCCTGGAGCCCCGGTGCCGCCATGGACGGGGCTGTCTTGGAGGCAATCTTAGGCGTTTGGAATCCTCTTGGGCCGTCTTGGGGCCCTCCTGGGACTGTCTTTGGGGCTTCTCGGGCCGTCACGGGGCTATCGTGGAGGCCTCTTGGGGCGATCTTGGGAGTCTCTTGGGCCATCAAGACCGTCTGCAGGCCGAAAAAAAACGAATGCGACAATCCTTAAACCAAAAACCAACGGGAAATCATCGAAGTTCGCTTGTTCGGGCTTTTTCCAAAAGCATGTCTTGGAGGCGTACTGGCCGCCTCGGAGGCTGTCTTGAGCCTTCTTGACCCCACATTGGGCCGCGTAGGGGTGCATCTTGCGGCCATCTTGGGCTCTCTTGAGGCCATCTCATCGGTTTTGGAGGCATCTCTGGAGCCATCATGGAGGCCATCTAAGCCGCTCCGGACCGAGAACGGGGGGTCTTGGAGCCCCGTCCCCACCACGGAGAAATGGGGCGGGCCCACCCCTGGGACCTAGAACCTCCGCCCGCCATTTATTCATACACATCTATACACTAGAACCACGCGCGCGCGCTTCGCGCGCGCTTAGGTTCTAGTCGTGGCCACGGAGCTCGCAGTGCAAGGACTTGACAAGTAGCGCAGTGGCGAGCGTGAAAACCTGACCTGACCCAACCAGACCTGTCCACAAAGCTTGTCTGGGAGAACCACCTGGAAAACTGCTACGGAACTCCGATCACGGGCATCGTCGTCGTCGTCGTTGTGGTCGTCGCCGTCGTCGTTCTTCTTCGTCTTCGTCGTCGATCGTCGTCGTCGTCGTCTTTCGACCGTGTCGTCGGCGTCGTCCCTCGTCCTCGCCGTCGTCCTTCGTTGTCGTTGTTCCCGTGCGAGGCGCGTCTTGGAGGGCTCTTCGGGGCCTCTCGGGGTCTCGTGGGAGCTCTTGATGGCATTTTGGTGCGGAAGAAACGGACTGTCAGTTTGGCCTGCCCCTTTCGGAGCCGTCTTGGGCGTCTCCTCGGCCTTCTTGGGCGCCTTCAGGGCCGTCTTGAAGCCCTCTTGGGCCACCTGTGGCCTCTCTTGCGGGATCTTGTGGGCCGTTTGACGGCTGTCTCGGGGGCATCTTCGGCCGTCTCGGAAGGAGACACATCGTACATGTTGGAACTGCACGTTTTCCCATCGGAATTTGAGACCATGTTCCTCTCCCGTAGGCCCTCCCTTAGCGGCCGTCTAGCGTGAGAGGCGCGTCTTGGGGAGCTCTTTGGGGCCTCTCGGGGGCCTATTGAGAGTTCTTGAGGGCATCTTGGGGCGGAAGGTTTGAAATGTTTGTTTGGCCTCCCCCTCTTGGAGCTGTCTTGGGGCTCTCCTGCATTGTTTTGGACGCCTCCTGGTCCGTCTTGGAGACCTCTTGGTCCACCCGTCGGCTCTTTGTCAGGTCTTTTAAGCCGTGTGGAGGCAATCTTGCAGGCCTCTTGGGCCGTCTTGGAGCGTCGGAGAACAGAACAATCAGATGTACTGAACATGTGCGTTTTTCCATTGGAATTTAAGCTTGGAAGGCTTTTGGGGGACCTCTGGGGCGTTTTTCGGAGACCTCTGGGGCCGTCTTGGACGCTGGCAAGGCAAATCAAGCGAATATGTGAAAAAGCATTTCCTAAAGGAATTGGGCGGCTTTTGGTCCTTGGCGCTCCCTTCGGGGGCGTTCTGGAGGCCTCTTGGGGCGCCTTGACGCTTCTTGGACTGTCTTGGGGTCTCGTGGGGGTCTCCGGAAACCTCTGAGGGGCCTCTTGGGGCCTTCCTTGAGCTTCCTGGGAGCCTCTCCAGCGCAAGGGCGGCAAAATCCATTCGGAGCCTTCGTCCGAGACCCCAGCTGGGAGCGTTTGGGCGCTTCTTGGGACGCCTGGAGAAGCTTTTTGGGGACCTCTGGGGCGTTTTTCGGAGACCTCTGGGGCCGTCTTGGACGCTGGGAAGGCGAATCAGGCGAATATGAAAAAAAAAAAAACGTTCCAAAGGAATTGGGCGGCTTTTGGTCCTTGGCGCTCCCTTCGGGGGGCGTTCTGGAGGCCTCTTGACGCTTCTTGGACTGTCTTGGGGTCTGGTGGGGGTCTCCGGAAACTTGTGAGGGGCCTCTTGGGGCCTTCCTTGGGCTTCCTGGGAGCCTCTCCAGTTCAAGGGCGGCAAAATCTATTCTGAGCTTTCGTCCGAGACCCCCGCTGGGAACGGTCTGGGTGGCCTCGTGGGGTTTGGGCACTTCTTGGGACGTCTCGGAACCCTCTTGGGGACCTCTGGGGCGTTTTTCGGAGACCTCTGGGGCCGTCTTGGACGCTGGGAAGGCGAATCAGGCGAATATGAAAAAAAACGTTCTAAAGGAATTGGGCGTTTTTTGCTCCTTGGCGCTCCCTTCGGGGGCATTCTGGAGGCCTCTTGGGGCGCCTTGACGCTTCTTGGACTGTCTTGGGGTCTCGTGGGGGTCTCCGGAAACCTCTGAGGGGCCTCTTGGGGGCATCCTAGAGTTTCCTGGGGGCCTCTCCAGCGCAAGGGCGGCAAAATCTATTCGGAGCTTTCGTCCGAGACCCCCGCTGGGAGCAGTCTTGGTGGCGTCTTGGGGGTCTGGGCGCTTCTTGGGACGTCTTGGAACCCTCTTGGGGACCTCTGGGGCGTTTTTCGGAGAGTCTTGGACGCTG